TAGCACTTTTATTTCTTTGTAATATTAAATATATAAATATACCACAATGTACTTATCCATTCCATTGATAAATGTTTGAGTTGAGTAAAGCTGTAATGAATATTTTTGTACGTGATATTTGTTATAATTATTTCTTCTGGATCTATGTGTCTATATAAGGAGTGAAAGGCAAAAAAGGGGGTGGGTGATATTGCTAGGACCTATGGTAGGCATTTGTTTAACCTTACAATATATTCTTAGTTTCCAAAGGATCTTTGTAAATTTACACTACCGGCAGCAACGTATGAGGGTTCCAGTTAATCCACTCAGTCACCAGCATCACAACTGTCATTGTGGTGGGTGGATGGTAGCATCAAATTTTTATTTGCATTTCATAATGACTAATGATATTGAACAACTTTTCATATGCATAGTGAATAAATACCCTGTTGTCATGTGTCTGTTCAACCCTTTTGACCATTTTTAATTGGATTATCTGTTTTTAGCCCACTGACTTTTAGAAGTACTCTATAATTTCTAGACAGAAGTCCTGTCCTTTGCTGGGTTTGTCTACTACAAATATTTTCTCCCAGTCTTAGACTTTTCATTATTATAATAGTGTCTTTTGATAAATAGAAGGCATTGAATTTAATAAAGGTGAATTCATTAATCTTTTAATTTTTTCTTTATTATTGTTTTGGAATGACTGTTTTTAAGAAAAAAAAAATCACCAAAAGATTATGAAGATATTGTCTTATAATTTCATCAAGAAGTTTTATTTTTTCTCTCTTTAACACTTAAGACTATGATCCATAAATGATTTTTGTATATGGTATAAAGTAGAAATCAAGATCCATTGCTTTCCATAAAGATATCTAATTGATCCAGGAACATGTATAGAGAAGATTCTCCATTCCCCACCAAGTTGCAGTGGCGCTTGTTTTAGAAAATGAATACATATGTGTGAAAATACTTTTGGACACCAATGAGTTCCATTGTTATCCACTGGAAAGATTTTTCTCTGTTTCCTATGGGAGCAAAGAAACATTTTTCTCTCTCTTTACTAGGTTTGTGATTAAGTACTCCATAACAAAATACAGATTAATAGAAGAATAGCATACACATTTAATATGTGTTTTACATGACATGGGATTCTTAATAAGGAAATGAAGGCCCCTTCAAAATAGGTAAATGCATATTTTTATGCTTAGGTTTAAGAGATGGATAGTCATGGAGATGTATGATTAAACTAAGGATATGATCCAATGGTAATAGTCCAACCAGGATCGGGGCAGAGAGAGTTAATAAACAGGACTTATCAAGGCCCATTTGTTTAGATTATTCCCTAAGTCTCTGTGTCTTCAGAGATAAGGATATTCCTTTTTCAGGATATAGGAAAAACACCTCTTCCATGAAGGTCTTATGACCCATTTCAAGGGAAAAATCAAGGGGAAAACGAGATGGCTTTTCTACTTCTGCTGTTTGCTCACATGGCAAGGTGTCATATTTTGGGGTAGCACGTCCTAAACTGCATCACTCCAATACACTGTCTTAATTACCATAGCTGTATAGAAAATATTTCTGTTTTGTACTATATGCTATCCAACTTTGTTCTTTTTCTGAAAGATTGTTAGGTCTATTCTAGGCATTTTGTATTACCATACAAGTTTTAGAATCAGCTTTTGAATTCCCGCCTCATAGAAAAGATTGGGGTTTTCACTGTCATTGTATTAAATCTATAGATGGCTTTAGGGATAATCAGCGTTTTAACAATATCAAGTTATCCAATCTATGAACATGGTGTGTTTCTCTACTTATGCCTTCTTTACTTTTTCTCAGCAGTTTTATACTTATAAATGTAGACAGCTTCATAACTATTGTACACTTATTTCTAGTTATTAATATTTTTAAAAATATTGTGAGGGGTGTTTTTATTTTCTATTTGTTCATTGCTAATGTGTAGAAATACAATTAATTTTTATACATGGCCCTTGTATCCAGCCCTTGTTTTTATAATGCCTAGTACTACATATTCTTTATATTTACTTTTATATAATGCAGTATTTGATACTATAGTTGATTTTACTACATGTATACTAATCCCTTGTAATAAAGTCATTTTTGTTTTACAAATTTTCTTTATAAAGACTTTCAAATATCAAAACAACTATTCTTTTGGAATAGAAAGAAATTCTTAAACTTGCTCTTCAAGTAAAGCTGTGAAATACTGTGTTGATAGCTTCAATCAATCATATTGTTTAACAACATGACGTTAATATTTAGGAGCTCCAATTACCATTGTTAGACTCCTGAAAAAGAATTTTTTCTAGTCAATGCAAATCATGACATTAGAAAATTACAAAGAAGAATTATTCTTCATCAGCATTTACTCAAATTAATTCAAGTTAATTTGTCCCTTTGGAAGTAAGGATGACAATGAAAATCAAGACTTGGAGTGATTTCTTAATAACATAATTATATGTAAAGATGAAGTAAGAGCTGTAAACCCACCCTGCAGAGGTTTCCCAGGTAGGGCAAAACTAGGTCCTAACTTTTGTTATTCACAGCACAAGGTATCCTTAGGAAAAACTCTAGGCCTTCAAGGTCAGTTAATTACTGTCAGTTAAGCCCATCCTCACTCCCTTTCACCCAGATAGAAAATGCCAGGTGGGCTTTAGGAGAATAGGTTTAGTGCGGAGCTTCACACAGTAAAGAAAACTTTAGAAATTATATCTAGCTTTTCAGTATGTGCCCCAAAAGGTAATATGGAGGACGCAGCTCAGGACTTGACTCATCAGTCTTCATGTATTATATCACCTAGAATAAAAGTGCGAAGCAAAGGTCATTGGAATTTCTAATACTCTTCAGTGTATTGCTGAAAGATTGGAGTGGGTGAGAGCAGGGTAAGATGAAAGTACATAAACTTTTCTCCACCCCAGAGTAAAAGTGGTGGTTTCTTCTATTCCAGCACCCAGGCAGAGGCATGCTCTTCTACTCCTATGTTGAAAATTTAGCATTCCTCATATTTTACAGATTAGCTTTTAAAGAACCCCTGTCTGATCTGCCTACAGCTTCATAGTTCTGCTATTTAACTTTGCATGGATTTCCTGAGAAGTAATTATACAGAGCACCCTTCTTCCCACCACAGCTCTGCCTTACGTAACAAAGTTATCCTGAAAGGACTGATGAAAAATCTTCCATCATTTCTCCCTAATTCTTTTTATAATTTTTTTTCATGATTGCTGAAGGAGGCAGGCAATCTCCCAGTGTACCCTACATTGGTAATGTGATGATTAAGACTAATAGCAATGGAAACAGCCATAATACTATTATTAAATTTATTAACTGTTTCTTGTATGTCAGACACTTGACAAGGAAACCACCCACTATTTAATATATGAAACAAACTAACAAGACTGAGGGAGAAGTGTGCTTGTAAAACAATCTCTCTCAGAATAGCAGAGAACTCGTCTTACCGGGTTTATGGAGGTGTGGGCTCCGGGATGGGTAGGTTTTTAGAATTGGGCAGGACTAGGGCCTTTAGCTGTTAACAGGATTACTGGAGCTGAATTGGCTGTCTGCTGACTTCCATGGGCTGGGCTACTGAAGTGAGATTGTTGCTCATTGATTGATGTTTGGAAGCCAAAGGCTTAAGTCACTGTTTGGGCTTCAGAAATGCAGCTCCTAAAGCTTCTAAAGTAAGTTGCCACTTATCATTGAGAAGGATTTAAAGCTGTTCCTGGTGATTGCTTGTTAGGATGCCCAAAACACAGTCTTTTCTTGGGAACACAAGAATCTTTTACTCTTGTGATACTAAATGTTAATATTAGTTAGTAGCCAATTTATAAATATTACACAATTTACTTTTCAGAAAATCCTTTAAGAATATGAATTATTGGCCGGGTGCGGTGGCTCAAGCCTGTAATCCCAGCACTTTGGGAGGCCGAGGCGGGTGGATCACGAGGTCAAGAGATCGAGACCATCCTGGTCAACATGGTGAAACCCCGTCTCTACTAAAAATACAAAAAATTAGCTGGGCATGGTGGTGCATGCCTGTAATCCCAGCTACTTAGGAGGCTGAGGCAGGAGAATTGCCTGAACCCAGGAGGCGGAGGTTGCAGTGAGCCGAGATCGCGCCATTGCACTCCAGCCTGGGTAACATGAGTGAAACACTCCGTCTCAAAAAAAAAAAAAAAAAAGAATATGAATTATTAAAATTTCCATTTTTTTCATAAGAAAGCTAAGGCTTATCTTGCCCAAAGTCACATGACTCATAATTGGTAGAAACAGGATTAAAAATGATTTTAACTCCAAAAAAATAATCAGGACATATCCAAAGCCTGAGCCTACATTCATTCAATGAAGAGTAAAACACATGCTGAGTCATCAGGAAGCCAGGCATAGCTGTAAGCTTTGAGAATACCAATTTACACAAAACACACAAAATCTCTGTCTTCCTCCAACTAGCACCTTTGCTATCTTTTGCTGATATTTGCATTCTAAGCCTTTTTCCTGCGAACTTCAAGATGTCACCTGCTAAATCATTCTCCCTGGATTAGATCATTTTTGTATAAGTCCTTTGCCCAATACTTTACCCAAATAATTAACTTTTTACCTGTGAATGGGGCTCTCCCCTACTTTTTACCTTACCTCTGAAAAATCAGATTTGCATTTGACAACTACACTCAATTCAGATGGCTGAAGATTAAAATCATAGCTTCAAGTTCTAATGTAATAATTGATGATTTTGTTAGAGTAATTTAGTACCCATTTTTAAGGGATCCAAACTAAGTTTATTTTTACCACATACTTCAACGTAAGGTGCAATTTTTCTCAAAAAACAAAGCAGAAGTAGTTGCCTTATATTCAAATCCATACAACTTTTTTTTATATTACAAGTCACATTCTCAGTTTATCGTGAACAAACAAGAGAAATACGTTAGCCTGAAGCAACCTCAAGCACTGGCAGTTTAGGATGCTCAGATGTTACCCAGAACATTTATTTAAAAAACAGGGAGGGGGTGCTCGCTTCGGCAGCACATATACTAAAATTGGAACGATACAGAGAAGATTAGCATGGCCCCTAAAAAAAAATAAAACAGGGAGGGGGCAGAGAAACTGCATAGATTATAGTCATTATTGCTGAGTATGTAGCTTCTCAGCTCCAAGTATTGAATGTTACTGTAAGTAAAGTCTTTAAAGACAACTTTCCAAGTGTTATAGTAACCGATTATGGTGAGGAAATAACAAATAGACACAAAATGAATTTTTAAAAGAAAACTGCCTTAATATTAATATTGGCTTAGTTATCCCATGACCATGTGCTCTCTTTTGTGTTAGAATAATCACAAAGTGGCTTTTTTTTTTTTTTACTGATAACAAAGAACTGAAGTCAAATGTGTGTATGAAGAATTTTTATAAAATTCTCTCCTGAATAATCAGAAGCAAAGCAATTATTCTAAATAATAAATGGCTTATTTTATAAACCATTATTTTGATTATTATTAAAGTGATTTATTATGGAAACCATTTTATATAGTAAATGGTTTATACATGTATATATAAGTTAAGTAATAAGTGTAGATGTATGATTATTTCACATTTATTGTTAAAAATGTTTACTTTCAAGTTAATAAAATGAAACATTTATTTTACAAAACAGAATATTGTCTTATTATCACAGTGACCTTATACGTATTGTATACATTACTTTTTCTTATAAATTGAGGGAGTTTTGTTAAATTGCTACACTAGGCACAAATCTCATTCAATACAAAGCACTCAAACATATTTTGTGTTTATGGCCTCAGATGTAGCCACGGAGGTCATAGTGATTCTGGAAAATTTGTGTTTTATTAAGTGTCCTAGGTACAGAGGTATTCAGCAGAAGAAAGCTCATGGTAGAAATCTTCCCCAAATTCCTATGATTGTATCTCAGAGTTGCCTGCAAACAAACAATTTTCATGGTATAGAAAGAGGTCCAATCCTCTCGGTCTTCATCCCTTGATCTGTTTGGGATGTCCCAACTGGTGAGCAGATTGAGGACCTCAGTGTCAGGAGTGGGTCCCCTCTAGCCTGCCCTGCCCTGGAAGTCAGAGTCCAGGAATGTGCTGTGTTTTTAAAAAGAACGCCCACCTGGTCTACATTATTCAGCAGTATCTTGAGTTTTATGTGAGAAGAAACAGCAACCAAAGTAAATTCATATATAAATAAAAGTCACAATGTCACTATTTAAAATAAGAAAGTTTAACAAAAGACAAGAGATATCTAAGGGCCTAGGATAAAATAATATTATTCTTCAGAAAATATTTTCTTAATGAGTCAGAAAAAACATAGAGAATTGCTACTTAACATTAATGAGATCAAAAGGCCGTTACATCTATTAAACAATAATAGGTCAGAATAAACAAAGAATTCAAAGAACCAAAAGTCGGTAGAATCAATAGCAATTAAATAATTATAAGCCTTAAAAATCTGGCCTAATACTGCCAGAGTGCTACAGAAAATAAATATGAATACATAGCTATAATGTGGAAGAAATGGATAGAGATGTCTCTTAATGTCACAGATGACAATCGACTTTGGGATAGAATGTAAAGAAGTGACTTTGAATAACACTATTTCCAAAAAAGAAAATAAAGCACGATAATGAGAGCTGATAATCAAAATGTAAAATAAAATAAAAGGGGCTAAGCAAATAAGTTTTGATAATGTCTAAAGAATTGAATATATGAGACTGAAAAGTTTTCCTAAGACTACAGCATGTAGGAAAGCATGATAATCATAATTCTTAGTGTGAACTGTAATGTGAGTAATTCAGTATTTTTCCAAGAAGTGGGAAATTTGAAAATTTATAGTTTGAAACCCTCTTTTTCCACTTCTTGAAAAAGTTCAACTATGACTAAATTTATAATCATATTTAATAGAGTCAAATTTACTGTATTCACCTTTAAGATAAAAACTGATGAAAGACCTTTACTTGAGGATTAGAACTTCGTCAATTTTTAGGTCAATGTTGTACACCACACTCCCTTATTAGTTCCTGTTTATTGCCCATCCACCTGATCCCAAGCCTGCTTTAGGTGCAGGGACTCCTGGTCCAAACAAAAACAGCAGTACCTGAACCCATGGAGTTTGCAATGAGGAAAGACAAGCCAACTATTGCACTTTGACTTAATTATACTTGTAATGAGTTCTATAAAAGGGATTACATTGAAACAGGAATGACTCAGGTCACTCTGGTGATTAGTCCGGTAAATGCAATTTTGCTGCAGTTTCACAATATTACATAGGAGCTAGACTTAAACTTCATGAGGGCAGGGATTTGAGTGTGATTTTTTTTCCCTTTCAAGCCCCAGGGCCTACAGCATTCCCTGGCATACAGTAGGCACTCAAAAAATAATTGTTCCTCAACCAGTAAATACATAAAAGGAACTCTTCTAGCTAATTGGTTAGCTAAACTCCTACAAATAGGCTCTGTGAACCAGGAGAAAAATACTGTCTTACTTCATCGCATATAACAAACCATACATTATAAATTGTCATTGATTATGACACATTACTATTTCACATACAAAAGATAAATCAAGTTTGGAGAAGCTGATAGGAAATACCCTCCTCCCCAGACAAGGCTGAAAATCAAAGTGTAAAATTAATGATAAATAAAAGCTACAACACAGAAAGCAAAATTAAATTTGCGTGTCTTGATCTTGTTACTAGACAGAGGTAGGGAAAACAAATGTCCTTTGAATTCCTAAGAATTTGAACCATAAGGAGTGCTCACACAGATTTGCATCTCCAAATTCATACCCCTTATGGTCCCAAAGACCAGACATGTAAAGAGGTCCCAGGTTGGCTAATGGAAGAAATAAATGGCAAAAATCCTATCTGGAAGAACTCAGCTTCAGTTGACACCCCGAAAAACTATAAAACTAAAAAACTATAATATGAGTCTTAGAATCCACAAAATGCAGGGTTTAGAACACTCCTATATTTCACTGGACAATTGGGAAAATCGTCTAGTTTATGTTTAAGGAGCTAAGAATGGGGATTAATTTTCCCTTTGTCAGCAAAGTCCAACTGTAGCCAGTCACATGCATGTTACAACAGTAAGTTACAGTCTCCAAATTCAGGAGTGTCGAGGTCATTCATAGCTCCAAATCTTTTCCTCAAAAAAGAATAGGTGCTTTCAAAATAAAATAGACAAACCTAAGCTGAATTGCTGGTTTAAGGAAGAAGTCTCTTAGGATGGGATATTTTACCGAGATTTGGATTATATGTTGCATTAGTTGAACCAAAAGAGCAGAACTAGTTCCAAGAAAGGTAAGATCATGTGCTAGTGTCCTGAGCTGGGAAAAACAAGGCCTGATCCAGTTGTTGAAAGAGAGATACTGTGCCTTTAGAATAAAATGCAGCCAAAATAGCACTGGGAGAAGAGTATGTGGACACAGGCAGGACCTAGATCATGCAAGAATTCTTTGTATTTGTTTAAGAACAGACTCTATCCCCAGGGCATGAATTTTAATGAGAGAAAAGAAAAAATAAGATTTCCATTATTTTCAACATGTCCTCTAATCTTTCCTTATAATCTAGGTAAATATTGTCTCCTACTTTCTGAAATGGGTATTTGAACTAAATTCTAACTCACCTTTCTCTGTTTTAACCCCAGAATTTCACTCCACAATTAGCCAATGTTTCTCAACTTGATTCAATAGATAGGATTCCTTCCTTTTTCAAATATGAGAAGGTTTTCTCTTGCATAATTGTAAGTTTTTTTCTTGATTCAGCTTCCATTCCTTTTAACACCCATAAATTCTCTTTAAGTTGCTAAAATTTTCAAATATTTGTTCTGTACTTAACACTTCCAATTTCTATCCTGATTCAATCTCATCTTAGTTTCTGCCAGCTTTCATCTGACTTTAAAACTTCTGAAACTACCTGCTCATCAAAGATCAAAATGTGCTTTTCCACCAAATCCAATGGCTTTCTCTCATCTGTCATCTCCTACGACTTTGTTCAACTAATTTTGTCCTTCATTTGCTAAGCTATTGCCCTTCATTGTTAACTCTCGTCTACCTTTTGTTGTTGTTGTTGTTGTTAAGATGAAATCTCACTCTGTTGCCCAGGCTGCAGTGCAATGGCGCGATCTCTGCTCACTGCAACTTCTTCCTCATGGGTTCAAGACACCACCATGCCCAGTTAATTTTTGTATTTTTAGTAGAGTCAGGGTTTTGCCATGTTGGTCAGGCTGGTCTCAGGTGATCCGCCCCCCACAGTCTCCCAAAGTGATGGGATTACAGGCATGAGTTACAGCGCCTGGCCTTTTTTTTTTTTTTTTCGTGAGACAGAGATTAGCTCATGTTGCTAGGCTGGAGTGCAATGGCATGATCTCGGCTCATGGCAACCTCTACCTCCTGGGTTCAAACAATTCTCCTACCTCAGTCTCCGAGTAGCTAGGATTATAGGCACACACCACCACGCCTGGCTAATTTTTTGTATTTTTAGTAGAAATGGAGTTTCACCATATTAGACAGGCTGGTCTCGAACTCCTGACCTCAGGTGATCCACCCGCCTCAGCCTCCCAAAGTATTGGGATTACAGGCATGAGCCACCGCCCCCGGCCCTCTTGATTTTTATTTGACCTTTCTTCTTGTTTGTCTGTTTTCATGGTCTTAATGCAACATTCTGCTTCTCTATATCCTAAGAAAGAGGAAAAAATTTACCTTTCTATCTTCCCCCCAACATACAAACTTTACTAAAAGAGGTTGTGCTCTTCTCTTATCCTCTTCCATCATTTAGGACTTCATTTCAGAGATCTTCAATAAAACATATAGATGATAATGTCATGATCTGGAATAGAATCTGCATTTGTGACTGACAAGAGAGGTTGTAAAAATTATAATTTCTGACTCCTTGTTTTCTCACTATACTAATGTGCTTTTGGAGGATCAACACTGTCCGTTATCCATAATTGTATCTACAAAACTTGACACCTTGTTTTCCACTATGGAGTAGACAGTATATATTTTAATGTGCATAATTGTCCTGGTTATTATCATAAATCTGTTGGACATGTGTTGTGTGATAGCATAATTTATGTGTTAAAACACACACATACTCTTTTCTTTCTG